CCCCGAGAAGCGTCCATGAGGACTCTGACCCACCACAGGTAAGTCTCGAAGCGCTGCTGAAGCTCCCTTGAGCCATCCTGGCGTCCTCTGGGGCAGTGCATCGGCTCTCGTCGACAGAGTGCGAGCCACGTCTCCGAAGATCTCCTCGAGGGCAGTCCCGCCTGCCCACCCATTCCCCATAGGCACGACCACACCACGATGCAGCCACCGTGGTGCGAAATGGGCCGGCGAAGTGCGGCAAGCGATTAAATGATTGAAGGGACGAGGAGGAGGAGGAGGAGGAAGAGGAGGAGGAGGATGAGGATGTGGAGGGGAAAGGATTGGAGCAGGAGAGGGTGCTGGTTGGGGATATACTCGTTGGAGGAAGCCCCGAGGGAGAGGCGTGAGGAGGAGAAGGAGGTGGGGAAGCCGTAGCAGGAGTCGGCGGTGGAGGATCCGCGAATGAGAGAGAGAGAGAAATAGAAAGAGAAAGAGAGAGAGAGAGAGAGAGCCAACGAGGATAACGAAGAGGATGCGGCGGCGATGAGAAGGTAGAAGATGAGGCAGAGGCGGATGAACGAATGAGGGTGAGGCGGAGAAAGGGGTGGGACAGCTGGTGGTTGATGGCTGAGAAGGGCAGGGGAGGGTGATAGTGGTGTAGGATTGGAGGAAGAAGCATGATGAGGTGGAAGATAGTTACGAGGAATCTGAATGTGAGGAGGGCCAGATAAAATCGAGGAGGATAGGGGGAGAGGGGAGAAGAAGGAGGAGGTGGAGAAGGAGGATGAGGAGGATGAGGGGGAACGTGCGGGAAGATTATGATGTGGAACCGCAGGTTCAGGAGGATATGAAGGAAGGATTTGGAGGATGATGAGCGGGAGGGTATGATGTAGAGCCAGAGGAGCAGGACGATCTGCAGGAAGAGGATGAGGATGCGTGGCAGCAACATAAGGATGATCAGCAGCAGGAGGACCATGAATAAGCACAGAGCGTTGCATGAGGAGGAGGAGGTGCAGGAAGAGGAGACCGCCATGGTCTTGCCCAGGTCATCGTAGACCTGCTCCTCCTCCTCTTGAGGGGGAGGGGAAGAGCTCAAAGGGTTTTGGACAGAGGCCCCTGCAGGCTCCAGGTGGGCTCCAGGGACTCCCCGTCCTCCCGGCCATGGTTGACATCCTGCTCCTCCTTCCCTTCCCTGCTCCCTCCCTCTGCTCGGACATCCGACGTCGCGTGGGCCCCCCGAGGCCGCTCGAATGTGCGTCCCTGGGGCAAGTTTGTTGTTCCTAATTGGGCTTGCCGAGATGCTTCCTGACTGACTGCTCGATAGCGCCCTCACTAGAGGAGGAGGAGGAGGAGGAGGAGGAGGAGGAGGAGGAGGAGGAGGAGGAGGAGGAAGAGAAGAAGAGGAGGAGGAGGAAGAGAGAAGTGTATTTCCCGACTCCCTTCTGGGCGTGGCCGCTCGCTCTCGGCGCACGCGCCGCGCCGCAGACCCGCTGCCACCGGGAAGATCGCGCTCCGAGCGTGCCCGCGCGTGGACGGCAGCCGTCGCGTGGCCAGAGCGCGCCGTTGCCAATGGTCTCGCCTGGAAGCCCAGTGCGAGCCTCAAGTCGGGCATGTTTGGCCACGATCGGCAAATGGTCCACCACCGCTACCATATACAGGACGGGGGCCCCGACCGGGGGCCCGCGGTGGCACGGGGGCAGGGGAGAGCAGCGGGTCGCAGGGGCCCAGGACCGGGGAGCGAGAGCAGAAGGAAGAGAAGGGCGCCGAGAGCGACGAGGAGGCAGGGCGCCCTCGAGGAGGAGGATGAGAGGAGGAGGAGGAGGAGGAGGAGGAGGAGGAGGAGGAGGAGGAGGAGGTCCTCCACCGCATCCTTCTCCTCCCTCTCCTACCTGTTTTAGTGGTGGTGCAAAATGGGCCCATCGGGGCACGCCCCTCTGCAGCAGGAGGATCCTCAATCACAGTCAACAAATAACGTGGAGGCCATGCGTTGGCTATTCTGGCGTATGTTTCGGGTACCTGTAGGAGGACATGCCCGACCTGATGCGAGCGAGCTCGCTGGCTTCCAGCACGCATCGCGCGTCCAGTGCCGCTTCCGGAAAGGTTGCTTCCAGGAGGCTTGCCGCGAGCGCGCCCGGTCGCTTGCAGCGCGCTTTCCTTTGCGTGCGCTGCTCCCCTACAAGGCTTGCCTCAAGGACTCTTTACAGTGGAGGGCCATGCCAAGAAACACCCATGCTTGCCTCCAGGGTGCCCTGGGTTTCTTGGGTTAGGATGGCTTTGCGATGGAACGCGCGACGTTCCCACACCGAAAATGGAGGGACGTCCTGGGGTCTCAGGCTTGGTTGTCTTGTGCAAGGTTCCTTGTGATCGGGCCCCTACTGTAACGATGCTCCCTCACTAAAATGGCCCTGGGCTGGCGCCTCCCCTCAGGTCCCTCCCCACGGGCATCGCTCGCTCCTCCCGGGGGTGCCGGCTGGCGGCCAGCGGCCATGTCGCGTGGCCAGCGCTGCTGCCAGGAGGATCGATCCATGCATGCCTGTGTTCGCCTTCGGCGCACGCCGCGTGGCCAGGCGCCGTTGCCGGGGAGCTGTTGCCAGGTAGCTCCCTCCGAACGTGCCCAGGAGCGTCTGATCGCACGGCCGAGGGGGTCGCCAGGAAGCGAGCCAGGAAGCCAACTCCAAGCGTGCCCGCTCCCATGTGGCACACATGGCGCGTCCGGCGTTGCTTCCAGAAAATGTGCCAGGAAGCTCATGTAAACCACTCCTGGGGGGTCTGCCGGACTCCCAGTGGTGGTGATGGTGATGGCGACGGTGATGGTGTGGACGATGACGGCGGTGATGATGGTAATGGTGGTGGCGATGGTGATGATGGTGATGGTGATGCTGGTGCTGATGATGGTGAGTATGATGGTGTTGTTGATGATGACGATGGTGATGGTGGTGATGGGGTGGTGATGGTTATGGTGATGGAGATGATGCTGATGCTAATGCTGATGCTGTTGCTGTTGCTGTTGCTGCTGCGGCCGATGATTGATGATGATGATGACGACGATGATGATAATGTTGATAGTGCTCATGATGGTGATGAGGATTGTGATGATGCTGCTGCTGATGATGATGACGGTGACGCTGATGGTGATGACAATGGTGTTGGTGGTGATGTTGATTGTGATGATGGTGCTGATGAGTATGATGGTGATGGCGATGTTGATGGTGACGGTGATGATGCTGATGATGAGGATGACGACGATGATGATGATGGTGGTGATTTTGATGGTTATGGTGACGGAGACGATGATATTGATGAGGATGTTAATGAAGACATTAAGGATGATGCTGCTGATGATGATGAAGTTGATATTGATGATGATGGCCATGATGCCAAGGCTGTTGATGATGATGATGCTGATGCTGATGCTGATGCTGTTGCTGTTGCTGATGCTGCTGATGCTTATGTGATGCTGATGATCCTTCTGGTGATCATGACGATGGTCGTGACGACGACCACAACGATCAGGTGTTGCGGCGCTGAAGGCTGCGGCTCTGATGCCCGTCAGCGGCGTGCTTGCCCCCTCGCCCTCCACCTCACGGGGGAGGGTGAGGAGGAGGAGGAGCAGGAGGAGGAGGAGGAGCAGGAGGATGGAGGAGGGGCAGGGAGGAAGAAGACGCAGGAGCAGGAGGGAGGGAGTTCCCAGAGTGAGAGCGGCCGCAAGTATCTGAAGGGTATCCCACTGTATCCCAGGGGCCTGCAACATATTGTAATGCGTAAGTGACGTATTGATTTAACCGCTTCGCTCATTCCGCCGGCCCATCTGGCATCACTGGTGCTATATGTTTGTGCGTTCGTGGCAGGAAAAATGGATGAGGAGGACGAGGAAGAGGAAGAGGGGGGGATGAGGATGAGGAGGAGGCCTCTCGATTGCTGTCTTCATGACTTATTGTAGCGCTTGAGGTTCGTTGGCGCAGAGGGGGGAGACGGAGGAGAGGGAAAGAAGAAGGACGGGTTGGTGAGACGACAGGAGGCCTCTCGAGGTGGAGGGGGGGGGGCTCTTGGCGGTATTTCTGGAACCTCCTGGGGCGTCACAGGGGGCCTCTTGGGCGCCTCATGGGGGTCTCTCAGGGCCTCTCGGGGTCCTCTTGGGGGCTTCTCGGGGGCCTCTTGGGGCCTACAGGGGACCTCTCTGCGCCTTGAGCTTGAAATGTCGTTCGGGTCCCCCGCCTGGGCCCGCTTGTGGAGCCGTCTTGGGAGCTTCGACCATCCTGGAGGCTTCTGGGGCTGTTTTGGGGCCCTCTGGGACCGTTTTGGGCGCTCCTGGGGGCCTTCTGGGTATTGTTGGGGCGATCCTGGAAGCCTCTACGCCGTCTTGGAGCGCCAGGAAGCCGAAACGGCGAGAAACGAGAAAACATGAATTTCTGCCTCTGCGGGCCCTTTTGGGAGGTCGCTTGGAGGCCTATTGGGGCGTCTTGAGGGCGCTTTGGGTTGTCTGGAGGCCATCTTTGGCGTCTTGGATCGCTCTTGGACCATCTCGGACCATGTTGAGCTCTTCTGGAGCCCACTTGAAGCGCTCTTGGAAGCCTACTGGGACCTGGCCGGGACCTCGCCGGGACCTTGCCGACCTTGCCGGGACCTGCCCTGGACCTTGCCAGGGTGCTTGTCGCCTGGGGACCCCCAGGGGTGGCCCCGCGCGCGCGAACTAGAAATATTGTCAACCAATTACTGGAGATCTTAGGCACGCCCTTGGCCCGTCGGGCCGGCGAAGTTACCCAGAGTTGTGGCTGTGTTTCCTGTAGCTACGGGCGGGTAGGGATTCGAGCTTGTTTTCTCCACGTGTGGCTTCGCGAGGTTACCGAAACGGACTGTTGTGTCAGAACCAGCACGTCGTTTTATCCAGGCAGTCCCCTCGCTCATGGAGTGGTAGGATGAAGGGAGAGCCATTGGAAAAGGGAGGGGGGGAGTAGGAGGGAAGGATTCGGGTGCCCTCTTTCGCTTGGCAGGGGAAGGCTGGAGGGCGCCCCTGGGGGCAGGCGCCACGGCCGCGGAGGAGCTGGCGGTGACCCCCATGGATGGGGCCGTGGTGGAGGTCCGCACCCGCCAGCCGTGAGGGGGGAGGGAGGGCCTCCTCAGTGCTCGCTCCCTCCCTCCCTCCCTAATTCTCCCCCCACCTCCTCCTCCTCCTCCTCCTCCTCCTCCTCCTCCTCCTCCTCTTCCTCCTCCTCCTCCTCCTCCTCCTCCTCATCCTCCTCCTCCTCTCACAAGTATACGACATGCGCCCCTCCCCCATGAGGCCGTGCTGGCCTTTGAGGGGGCCGTGGAGCTCGCTTTTTTCCGTCTTCTCCTCCTCTCCCTTCTTGTATCCGTTTTTTGGTTTCCGAATTTGGAGCCCGATCTTCGCCATTACATCGCAGGACAGACGTGGTGTACAGCAGGAGGCTTTGTCCAAGGAGGAGAAGGTACCCATGCCACCACTACCCTTCGGCCGTTTTCCCCTTTGTGGACCTCCTGGGAGGCCCTCGTCGCCACCGTTGGACTCGCCTTGAAATCTTGGTCGGAACGCACCCCGAGAGAGGTCCTCGGGATAGCGATATCGGTACCTTTTGGTCTCCCCATGTTGTCTTAGTGTCCGCTCCGATCTCCCCCCACCAAACAAACAATACAAGTTGTTGTGCTCTGGTACGATTTGGTAACCGCAGCTGTGGCAGTGATGTGCCCATGCATGCAATCAGAACATTTGTTTGCTCTGCCATTGAAAAGTGGTCCTCTGGCAGGAGCGTTTGCCGTATTCTATGTTCACCGAGGGGCCCCCGTCCAACGGGACGACGCTGTCGCCGCAGCTGTAGTATGGGTGGTCGTATTCTTGGATGTGGGGAGGGATGGGCTGGAGGGCTGCACCAGGACTCCAGATGTGGCGCGAACGCGCTTAGCCTGTCCCTTCGCTCAGCCTGTCCCTCTCCCTCCTCCCTCCCTCCTCCTCCTTCCCCTCTCTCCGTCCATCCCCCCCTCTCATCTCTTTCCTTCCCTTTCCCCCCCTTCCCCGCGCGTGCGCGCGGGGGGGCGGGGTTTGGAGCATGCCCCGCCGTGCGGCGGCGGGGGGGTGGGCGCGGGAGGGCGCAGGATGAGCAGGGCAGGGACAGCGAACGAGGGGGCGCCCAGAGGAGGGCTGCGGCCCGACTCGGAGGCGTTTCTGTTGGGGGCCTGGGCAGTTCAGGCGACCGCAGCACATGGATCCAGGGGCAGCGCGGCTTGGCGACGGGTCCCGCTCTCATGGGACATCGCGGATTTCTGCCGCCGAGCGAGGCGGCGCCGGCAGCATTTTGGGCAGGGCACCTCCTCCGATCTATGGATTTGGCGACCGCGCGCCAGATCGATGGATCGCTAATCGTGTGCTCTTCCTCCGTCTTCTCGCTATTCCTCTTCTTTCCTGTTTCCCTCCTGCGCATCGTCCTTCCTTACAGTCCTCACATTGATTTTCGGTCTTTCTCATGACATCTTCCTCTTTCTCGTGCTCCGCCCTGCGTGTTCTGTTTTGTCCTCCTTACTCGAATCATTGCCACCACCCCTCAATTGTGTCATCCCTCCTGTCCGCCCTCATGCTACCTATCCTCACCCCGATCCGTTTCTTTGGATTGTCCAGTGACCGTTCTCGGCGGGGGGACTACCGCACAGGTAGGTGATACCTTATGACACGCGAGATTGGGCGAAGATGCGGTGTGGACTGGATGTTTCGAGCGCCATGTTGGTTCTGAAGCCCCCGAAGGTATCCTTCGGGATTGACGTCCTCTACCACAAGCCCTTCTTAGGCAGCGATGTACAATCTCTCCAGCTGCTTGCAGGTTTGAGAGTGTGCCGCACGAAGGCTCACATGGTGTGTCCCGTGGCTCATACCGCGGCGACGCCCATCTCTTGTCGGTGACGAACAACGGCTCCACCATTGGCACGTTTGTGAGTAATGGCCTAGAGCTTCGTCCAGCCCCCTCGCTTGCGCTCTCTCTATTCATGTTGCCTGTTCTCTCTCTCTCTCTCTCTTTCTACCTTTTGTTTTGGGTGCGTTGGTTACATGTCTCGCTAACTATGTATCGAACCCGTATAACGTCTATGTGTATCCGTCTATGTGTATCGAGGTGGCTGTATGTTTCTGGGCGTGCTGTCATGCACCTCTGAATAGTGACACTGCGCCAGCGTGCCATACTTCCGCGCAGATGGTTGCACCTTGGCGCTTGGATGCGCGTGCACGCCTCTCTCTCGCTTCTTGCTTGTTGTATCGCTCTCTCTCTCTCTCTCTCTGTCTCCTTCTCATTATGTTTGTTCTCTCTTTCTCTCTCTCTCTCTCTCTTTCTCTCTCTCTCTCTCTGCTTGCAGGCGCATCCCGCCCCGACCGGGCCAGTGTCCCATACCACCGGGAGGCGGGACGAGGAACGGAGGAGAAGCCGCCCCGACCCCGATGACTCGTTTGTTGAACGGCCTTGGGCGTTTACCAAACCGCCCTGCATTGCTCGATTCCTTCCTTGTGATGGGCCTGTTTTCCACCACCACCACCATAAGTTGTAGGGGGAGGAGGAGGAGAAGGAGGAGGAGGAGGATGAGGAGGAAGAGGAGGACGAAGAGGAGAGGAGGAGGAGCAGGAGGTGGAGGAGGAGGAGGAGGACTCCCGCCCCCTCCATCTGATGGTGGTCGTGGTAGAAAACCGGGCCCATCATCTTGGGTGCTCGTCGCGGTGCTTATGATCAGGGTGGTTTTCCTGCTCTCTTCGGGGGGAGGGAGGGATGCCTCGACGATGCGCGCACCTCTCCCCGTCTCCCGTCTCAGGCAGCCCCCCTTCTGCCGACATGTCCCCGCACGCATGCCCATCGGTCGGTGAAAATGGGTATGATTCGAGCCTCAGGTTTCAATCTACTTTCAGCGTCTTCCTACTCCAGTGACCGAGTGGCTTCACATGTTCCGTCCTCCTTGGGAGGCGCACGGAACCCAATCTCTTTTCAACAATTTCATATCTCATGCTTCTACCTACCGCCTGGGCCCTGAAGAAGGAAGCCTTTTCGTTGGGGAGGGGCTTCGATTGGAAATCGAACTTCAACTTATGGGAAAAAGGGGCCTCGTTCCTTATTTAGGGTTCCTCAGGTCAACGCCCCGACTGTACTTCGCCTGACCGACGGGCACGTCTTCCCGTGGCGGGGAGTGCCCTTCCCCCCCCCCGCCCCCCGCCCCTAGAGAGACGATTGGCGCGCCCCCATACGGGCCCGACGGACGCTTCGGGCGAGGGCCCCGCTTGGAGTACGTGAGCAGCCGCGCTCCACCCCTCCGGCTGCCTCCGAAATACAGTCGGGGCCCTGAAGAAGGAACCCGTTTCCGTTGGGGAGGGGTTCCGCGTTCCTGAATTGTTTCACAGCTTGCCTCAGGTGTTCCTTGTGTTTTCGATGGGAAATCGAAGCGGAGGAAAGAGGCCTCGTTCCTTCTTTCGGGTTCCTTAGGTCAACGCCCCGACTGTACCCAGAACTTTGCAGGAGGAAGAGGCAGAGATCACTGCCATGGCCTCCTTGTCCCCTGTTTTGGGACTCCTCGGAGGCCCTCGTCGTCGCCGCTGGACTCGCCTGGGACTTCTGGTCAGAGACCGCACCTCCCGAGATGTCTAGGGAGTAACGATATCGGGACCCTTCGGTTTCCCCAATAATTATTTGCGCACCGTCTGGATATGACGCAGTCCCGAAAAGGACCTTGTTTTCGAACGCCCAAAGAAGTCGACATCTCTTCCTCGATGGAAAGCGGCGGAACTGAGACGAGGGCCGTTCCGCCGGCGGAAGGTTAGCGGAAGTGGGCGGAGGTAAAACATTCACACCCAAGACATGGCAACATTGTTGGTTTCAGGTTTGTGCTACCTGCCACATGTGTCCAGCGTCCTTCTTGGCCCGCGTAGTTTTTGCACAGCTGGCACTTCTGGTCACACAACTGTTGACGTTTCGCGTATTCCCGCAGCCCATCCAGAAACGATCTCCAGGCGTTTGGCTTTGACAAGGAAAGCGTAGCAGCTTGCAGTGGAACAACAAGGGGTAAAGCTGTTATGCCGAAGCTCAGTTCGGGCAGTCCCAGGGGCCACCCGCAGAAGCCGTCGCGGATCGTTCGATCTGTGAGTCGTGTGGGGGCCATCTCCTGGCTTCTCTTCGGCATCCCCTCGGAGCCACTCGTTCGCTGCAGGCACCCTTTTGGCCGAGCTCCCTGCAGGCCCCGCGCTGGCGGGGGCCGTCGGCTCTCGGGAGCCACTGGGACCGCCGTGCCTGTTCACGCTCATCCCCACGGGGTTGGGGGGGGGAAGGTCCCGCTGCATCGGATGGCCCGCTCCTGTGCGCCCTGTGTGAGGAGGGGGGCGCCAGGCGCCAGGATGACCCACAGGCCACCAGCTCGAGTCCGAGGAGGAGAGGGAGGGGGCGTGGGAACGAACAGGCAAGAGGGACGGGACAGGAGAGAGAAGGGAGAGAGGAGTGGAGATGGGAGTAGAGGAGGGAGGAGGAGGAGGAGGAGGAGGAGGAGGAGGAGTAACTCGTATGCTATACAGATTAAGAAGAACACAACGAATTATAACAACAGTCATACTATTAATCATACTACTGGTACATAAGAAGAAGAATAATCAGAGGACAAATACTAAGAAGAAGAAGCGGAGGAGGTGGAGGAGGAGGAGGAGGAGGAGGAGGTGGAGGAGGAGGAGGAGGAGGCGAAGGAGGGTTGTCTCGGCAGCGTGCCGTGCCCGACAGCCCCCGCCGCGCCACGAGGAGGAGTTGGAGGAGGAAGAGGAGGAGGAGGAGCAGGAGACTTTGGAGACTCTGCCTGATCGCGTAGCGATAAGAAGGAGCAGCACGAGAAAGAGGAGGAGGAGGAGGAGGAGCAAGGGATGAGGAGGTTGCTTTGGCAGCGCGCCATGCCCGACAGCAGCTCCCGCCCCGCAACCCCTGAGGCGGGGGCGGCTCCGACGAGTCCTGGGCATTCCGCGAGGAGCGGCGCGCGTACTCGGCAGCCTTGCCCCCCCCCCCCCCCCCTTTCCCCCTTGCGTTCCCTCGCTCGGGCGTGACGCAGTGGCCGATGCAAGAGGAACTGATGGACTGTATCTCCACCACCACTACTATAGGTAGGACGGGAGAGAAGGGAAAGGGCGGAGGTCCTCTTCCTCCTCCTCCTCCTCCTCTCCTGCCTATCGTAGTGGTGGCGACAGCTTGGCCCAGCTGCTAATCGGCAGCGCGCCCGGGGGGGAGAGTCAGAGGGGGCAGGCCCTCTCAGAGGGCGGCGGCGCTTCTCATAAGCCCTCCGGCCGTCCGAGAGAAGTTTATGCTGTGCCTCCGGGGAAGGCTCAGACGAGCCTTCCGTAGGCCCGAGGCCTTCCATGCGTCGAGTCGAAGATCGACTGCCGCATTGATTGACCCCAAACTTGAAGTGTTTGACGATTCCTAGGTCCCCATGACAGTCTACGCTTAGTGGGCCCGGAAGCTGCATGGCCGTCTTCGTGCCGTTTCCACCAAGTGTCTCTTGAAAAAGGAAACGGCGATTGGAAACGGTTACAAAACACAGCTCCAGAGAGCCAGAACCAGTAAAACAACGGCGACGGGACCGGTAACAAAAACGGCGTCGGAACCGGCAAACAGAACGGCAAAACGGAACCAGTAAAGAAACGTCTTTCTCGTTTGCAGGGCCGGCTAAGAGTTTACATTTGTGTTGCAGATTCGATTGGCGGGAAACAGATTTCGGGGTACATCAAAGATGTAGTCGGTCTCATACTCGAACACGATCGGCTCGTCGTGTCGACTTACGGTGACCCCGCCGCCAGTGTTCCTCTTTGAACGCCGTTGGCGATCTAGAACCAGTCGATGTTCAACGACCTGACATTCTGGAAGCGGCCGTTCGTTCAAGGTTGATCGATCTCCGCGGTGTTAGAAACCAGCGCCGACGTCGGCCCCGTCGGCCCGACACGAACCTGCCGTAAACGGAAGTTTTCGAAGCCGCACGCGTATTCCTTGGATCTGCGCCCCCGGCGCGCTCCGCGCGCCATGAAGGATGTCTAGCGCCGGCGAGAAACCATCGCAGACCTTCAAAGTTTCTGCTTACGCCGTTCTGCCTCTGCTAAATGGGGGGGGGCGGTATACACTCATAGGAGCAACACCGACGCCACTGCTCGTCCTCGGAAGCTCTCGTCGCCGCGGCTGGGTTTTCCTCATATCTCGGGCCTAAGAATGCGCCTCAGGAGAGGTTCGAGGAGTGGCGATGTCGGTACCTGCCCTGTCCCCCATGATCGGGGGGAGGGTACACTGGGTGGGGGTCGGGTAGGGGTGCATGCAAGAGGGCCTTTGAGGGGCCCCCATGGGGCCCCTCAGGTGCACGAGGATTGCATGCTTCTCCCCCCCCCTTGCATTGGCCCCCCCCCATGGGGCAACGCCCGACTCGCGCCCCTCTCCCTCCTCCTTGGGAGAGAGGTGATGAGCTGGGAGGACAAGGATCCTGAGGGATGTGTGTATATATATATATACACGCAGAGAAGAGGAAAATGAGGGAACACGTGGAGGTTGTTGGAAAGTATGTTTCCCGTGCACACGGTGGAAAATTTTGGAGATGGGGGGGGAGACGAACATCGAGGAAACACAGGAACACAATGGGACTCCCGGAAGTTGGGTCTCCCTGGGCGCCTATCCAAGGGGAAGAAGAGGAGGAGGAGGCGGAGGAGGGGGAGGAGGAGGACGAGGAGGAGGAGCAGGAGAAGGAGGAGAAGAAGGATGAGGAAGTTGGGTCTCCATGGGCGCTTATACAGGGGGGAGAGGAGGAGGAGGGGGAGGAGGAGGAGGAGGACGAGGAGGAGGAGGACGAGGAGGAGGAGGACGAGGAGGAGGAGGGCGAGGGCGCTTATACAGGGGGAAGAGGAGGAGGAGGGGGAGGAGGAGGAGGAGGAGGAGGAGGAGGAGGAGGAAGAAGAGGGAGAGGGCGAGGGCTCCGACGAGCGGCGGGAACAGCCGCGGCGGCTGTGACGGCATGCTCTGAGGGGGGCGGCAGGGAGCAGGGAGGAGGCCAGAGGAGGAGGGGGTACCCACACCCTTTGTGTGTCCCGGAAAACGGCAGGCCCGTTTTTGTCACCGTTTCCCAAAAATGCCCCTTGAACATGGAAACGGCAAAGAAACGGCGACCGGAAACGGCAAAAATACGGCTCCAGGATTGGAACCGGAGGCGGAACCGGTCGCAAACCGGGGACGGAACCGGTAAAAAAAAAACGGCGTCGGAATAGGCATCACAACGGCAAAACGGAACCGGTAAAAAAACTGCCCTGTCGTTTGCAGGGCCCACTAAGCTCATACCCTTACCCTCCCCCCGCTTCCCCCCCCCTTTTTGGCCTCCTGGGAGGCCCTCGTCGTCACCGATGGATTCGCCTCGGGAATGAAGGTCAGAACGCACCTCGGGAGAGGACCGGGGAGTAGCGACATCGGTACTGTCCGACGGCCCAGAGAGGGGAAGCATCCCATGGAAGAAGGGAAGGAAGGAAGGAAGGAAGAGGGGGGGTCAGAGGAAGAAAGAGAATGGGAGAAGGGAGGGCAGAATTATCCCGGCAAAGCAACCTAACAGCGATGTGTAGGAGCATATTTAGAAACATTCCCCTTAAGATTCAAATGAGAATCCAGTTGTAGAATTCTGCTGTTCTCGCAGTCGTAGTCGCATTCGCGATGACAGTCGCAGTGGCAACGGCAGTCGCAGTCACAGCCTCAGCCTGCCTCAGCCTCAGCCTCAGCCTGCCTCAGCCTCAGCCTACCTCAGCCTCAGCCTCAGCCTGCTTCAGCCTCAGCATCAGTCTGCCTTCAGCCTCGGCCTCAGCCTGCCTCAGCCTCAGCCTGCATCAGCCTCAGCCTCAGCCTCAGCCTGCCTCAGCATCAGCCTGCCTCAGCCTCAGCCTCAGCCTGCCTCAGCCTCAGCCTCAGCCTGCTTCAGCCTCAGCCTCAGTCTGCCTTCAGCCTCGGCCTCAGCCTCAGCCTGCCTCAGCCTCAGCCTGCATCAGCCTCAGCCTCAGCCTCAGCCTGCCTCAGCCTCAGCCTGCCTCAGCCTCAGCCTCAGCCTGCCTCAGCCTCAGCCTCAGCCTGCCTTCAGCCTCGGCCTCAGCCTCAGCCTGCCTCAGCCTCAGCCTGCCTCAGCCTCAGCCTCAGCCTGCCTCAGCTCAGCCTGCCTCAGCCTCAGCCTCAGCCTGCCTCAGCCTCAGCCTGCTTCAGCCTCAGCCTCAGTCTGCCTCAGCCTGCCTCAGCCTCAGCCTCAGCCTCAGCCTCAGCCTCAGCCTGCCTCAGCCTCCTCAGCCTCAGCCTCAGCCTCAGCCTCAGCCTCAGCCTCAGCCTCAGCCTCAGCCTCAGCCTCAGCCTCAGCCTCAGCCTCAGCCTCAGCCTGCCTCAGCCTCAGCCTCAGCCTCAGCCTCAGCCTCAGCCTCAGCCTCAGTCTGCCTTCAGCCTCGGCCTCAGCCTCAGCCTGCCTCAGCCTCAGCCTGCATCAGCCTCAGCCTCAGCCTCAGCCTGCCTCAGCATCAGCCTGCCTCAGCCTCAGCCTCAGCCTGCCTCAGCCTCAGCCTCAGCCTGCTTCAGCCTCAGCCTCAGTCTGCCTTCAGCCTCGGCCTCAGCCTCAGCCTGCCTCAGCCTCAGCCTGCATCAGCCTCAGCCTCAGCCTCAGCCTGCCTCAGCATCAGCCTGCCTCAGCCTCAGCCTCAGCCTGCCTCAGCCTCAGCCTCAGCCTGCTTCAGCCTCAGCCTCAGTCTGCCGTCAGCCTCGGCCTCACCCTCAGCCTGCCTCAGCCTCAGCCTGCCTCAGCCTCAGCATCAGCCTGCCTCAGCATTTAACATGTGGCCAGGGAATGGGGTTCTGGGAACTCGAAGAACACGAAGTGGCCTACAGTTGGCTCCGGGCATTCAAAATCATGCCCAGAAATGGAGTTCTGGGAACTCGAAGACCACGAAGTGGCCTACAGTTGGCTCCGGGCATGTAAAATCATGCCCAGGAATGGAGTTCTTGGAACTCGAAGACCACGAAGTGGCCCACGGTTGGCTCCCGGCATTCAAAATCATGCCCAGGAATGGAGTTCTGGGATTTCGAAGAACACGAAGTGGCCTACAGTTGGCTCCGTGCATTCAAAATCATGCCCAGGTGTGGAGTTCTGGGAACTCGAAATCCACGAGGTGCGTTACGGTTGGCTAAAAAAGGAGGCTCGGTTTCCCGGGGGGGTCCCGGGGCACCCTGTCCAGATCCCGCCCAGACCCCCTTGGGGAGTCATGATGCTCTCTTTTGACCCTACTAGAAACCTATCAGTCTTCGCTGTTAGGTAAAAAGGAAGGCAGAAGCTTCTCTCGTGCGCTTCAGTTCGCTCCCTCCCTTTACCCATGCTCCCTCTCTCCCTCTTCCTCCTTATTCCTGCATGGATGGTTCCCTCTTCCCTGTGATCCCGCGTTTTTTTTTTTTTTTTTTTGTTTTTCTCTCTCTCTCTCTCTCTCTCTCTACTTATATATATATATATATATATATATATATCTGTTTGAACAGCTCCTCCCGTGGAGCAGGCGATCTGCCACCATTGGGGCCTATACCCGAGGCCCTGTCAGAGGTACTTATTGGGCTCGCTATCTCAATCAACATCGACAAGGAGCGGGGTAAGAGAACAATGCGAGCTTCAGCGCTTAACATACTCATCCTGCTATTGGTCCTCATATCCCTCCTCGCCGTCCTCTTCGTGGTTATCCTCCTCAGATGTCTCTCCATGATCGGTTCGCATTATTTTGTATTATGCTCGTCCTGATCCTCGCCGTTTCTTTTTCTGGCGGTCGCCTCGCTCCTATTTTTTTTCGAGTTGTGTTTTGACGGCCCAGTGGCCTAACGAGGGCCGAGTCGGTTTCTGAGCGTTACCGCGTCTTTGTTGGTGATCCTGCGCTGTCCTTCTTTTTCTCTATATCTCTAGCTCTCTCGCGCGCGAATGGACCCCCCCTTCCTCGTAGCCCGACGTTGCTTGTTCTGCCGCAGTGCGCTAAAGGCGTTGCCAGGTCCGACCACGGAACGCAACCGGAGATCTCAGGGACCCTTGAGCCCTCTTCCTGCGTCGTCCTCCTCCGCTCCCCCCTTGCACGAGCCCTCCTCGCCCTCCCCCTCGCCCTCCCCCTCGCCCTCCCCCTCGCCCTCCCCCTCGCCCTCCTCGTCCTCCTCGTCTTCATCCCTCCTCACGATCCCTCCTCCTCCTCGCCCTCCTCGTCGCCCCCTCGTCCTCCTCACGATCCCTCCTCGTCTTCATCCCCCCCCTCCTCGCGTCCGCCGCGCCCCGTTGCACACGGGACAGAGCAGCCGCGGCGTCCAGGCGCGCGGGGCGCCGGGGGGGCACCCTCCTGGGTGGGCGGGGAGGGGATGCCTGGACTCCCCCTGCGCTCGCCGCCCTTCCTCCACAGGAGGGGAAAAAGCACACAGACGCAATTAGGTGACGACTTCAAGAACATACTGGAAGCTATGGGAAGTGGGGGGCAAGACGAACATCAAGAAGATATTTGAAAACATTTGGAAATCCTGGGTTTCTGGGACCCTTCACTCCTGCCCCCCGACCCCCCGAGGCTCCGTGCCTCCCAGGTGTGGTCCAAGCAGATGGGGTCGGAGATGCGCGGCTCGAGGAGGAGCCCGATCTTCTCTGCGCCGGCGGCGCCCGTGCCTCGTCGACGCATCGTCGATGCCTCGCCGATGCATCGGCCATGCGGCGTGTTCCTCCGACCCCATCGAAATGGGCACGGAAAGAATGGGTACAGTGCCCAACAGCAGATCCTGTTCATTTTGAACAGGGCTCGCTGTCCACGCCGCCGCGGCCCGTGTCCATTCGAGAGAGAAGGACAGAAGGCCGCCTGCCCAACAGCGGCCGCTGTTGGTTTGGGATAACATTTGTTGTTGGGCATTGTACCCATCCTTTCCGTACCCAATTCGGGCGTCCAAATACTCGGAGCCAACGTCCGAGACGTGCTCACGTCCTGACAAGATCTACGACGGGAGTTGTTTGGCCGTCTTCGGCCTCTGGGAGCCCTCGCCGGGCCCGAGGACCGTCATCGGATGGGCGCTGGATGAACAGCCCGCCTTGGGGAAAGGGTCGGGGCTTCTTGGGACCCGCCTTGAAAGCATCAGGACGTCGCATGTCTGCCCCCCCTTCCCCGAACAAGTCAAGTCGCGCAGAGCAGGGGAGGGGGGTTGAACGGGATAGGGGGGGTGGGCTCCCTTGGGGGTTCCTCTTTGTCGAGCACGGGGCCCTCTCCCCGAGCTCTGGCCCGAGTGTCTGGCCCCGCCGAGGAAGCCTCCAGAGTCGGGCATGAGGGTCGCCATGCCCCTGAGGGTTTGACGGCTTTTCGCCACTTAAACTGTGTGGATCAAGCAGGGAACATTACAGTGGGGGTCCATGCCAAGAAACACCCTGCTTGCCTCCTGGGTGCCCTGAGTTTCTCGGGTTTCGATGGTTTTGCAATTGGAAGCGTGACGCTCCCACACCACAAATCGATGGACGTCCCGTGGTCTCAAGGTTGGGTGTCTCGTGGAAGGTTTCTTGTGGTCGGGCCCCTACTGTAAGGTAAGGGTGAATCATCTCCCGAGGAGACCCAGGTCAATCCAGGTACATTCCTGGATAGCCTTCGGAGAGCTGAGCGGGCCTCAGATTAGAAGCCAGCAGCGCAGAGCGGGCCAGCCCCACGCTCCTGGGCAGGCATCCCCATAGCAGGTTGCGTGAACTCGCAGCCTACCCCGAGAGCGTGTTCCCACTCGTTGCCGGTGTGCGTGCTGGGAGCCTTGCCGGAGGTCTCTCGAAGCTCCTTTGGGGGCTCCTGCGAAGCTTGCCTTCTCCAGCTTGCAAGCTCTCCAGGCATCCTTCCCAGCGTCCTGGTAAGCGTCGCCCATAGACGTTTCCCGCCCTTTGGACTGCGCTGTTATCCGCGGTTGGGACGCTACGAGCACAACTAGCGCTATGCATTTTTGGAGCAGATCCTGACCGCTCCTGCGCGAGACGAGGGACGGCAGAAGTCATGCAGCCGTCAACGAATCGACACCGCCACTCGATGATCTTCAGGGCATGTGGTAGCCCAATGTGTGAGTGCACCCCGGTCAGCTCCGCCAACAGCACGCAGCCCGTGCCAGCCCTGCTTGCACCGCCTGCGCCGTATCGACGACATTCGACTTTTTCCGACTCGGCCGCCGATTTTCGCCGATCCGATTCATGTCGATCGCCGCTCCGACTTGTCGATTCGATTCTGGGCTCTCCTGCGTTGGCGCCAGAGCATCCCAGACGTGCGACGTCGGGATCTTTATCGAGACGGGCCCCCGGGGAAGTCTCCCCAATGGGGGGTCTCGCGTCGTCTCTCGACGGTCCCAGGGCCCATGGCGGGGGCCCCAAGGAGCCGAAAGGCGGCCAGCAGCCTCGCGTCGGCGGCACCCCAACAGCTGCTGGTGCCAGGCGTGCGTCGCCCTCCAGGGACGACGCGCGTCGAGGAGTCTCAGAGCACACGCGTCGTGGCGAGCGCGTTCTAGCCGTACCGTTCGGGAGAAGATATACTCGACAATATGGTGATACATACACACATACATATGTATATATGTGTATGTGTATGATGTGTATTTTAATATATATATATATATATATATGTATACACGTATGCGTGTGTATGTATATATATACATATATACATATATAGCATGGTCTATGTATATATGCTATATCTATGTATGTGTGTTCTGGTCGGAGGCGCGCCTCCAAGGAGAACGCATCGTACCAGTCTGCCTCTGCGCGTCCTGAACAGCCCCGCGCTGCAAGTTCCGTCGTGGCGCGGGCACGTCTGGAGCGTCCCGCGGACGGCCAGGCCGCCGCCCCTGCCGCGCGGGGCGGGCGGCCCGCCCGGCGCCAGGACTTCGACGTCCGCCAGCCCTGGGCGCAGCGCGACCTGCTCGCGCTCTGCACCAACCTGTCCGAGGAGGGCCCCCCTGCTTCTCCCAGGGGCAGCGATCGGGAAGGACAGAGGCATAGAGGGGATAGGCACGTTTCGGGTTCGAGGTGCGAGGACTTCGCACGGTTTCGTCGGTGCTCGGCGGTGTTCCAACCTCGGGGTGCTTTCAAGCAGCTGCGCCTCGCCGAGGGCTTTCAGGGGGTGCCAGAATTGTCCCGACCGGCCGCCGGAGAGCCGACTCATCGAGCCCGAAAAGCACCAGGCACGGGGATAGACTCAGGGGGGACGCATGGACCCCCAATCGCCCATGGATCGCCGATGGGGTCCCGATAGCCCCAGCCTGCCCATGAACGTGCGGATTCACCATCGGGGGCCCATCGCCGATTTATCGGCGATGTACCGGCGATTCCAGGTCGATGTTTTCCCACCTATGCCAGTACCCCCTCCTCTCGTTGCCCCTCACTTCTGTTGTGCGGGAGCGCAGCGGTCGATTTGCTGCACGGCTCGTGTTTTGCGTCATCTCCCACAGCACACGATTGATCGCCGCTTTGAGGGGTCTTTTCAGAGAGTGCTCCGGGAGGAAGCCAGCGTTGCTGTATCGTCTCGCGCTTGCCCGCAGCCGTCGATCTACTCGGCGACTCGGCACGCGGCCGCGCCTGTTGACGCTCTGCACCGCCGATGCAGCGGTGCTGCGGCTGGGTGCGGAGCCCGCTCTTCGCATCGTCGACGGTGGCGGTGCCCCCTCGCCGAGGCATCGGCGCTGCGGCGCGCTCCTCCGACCCTCAGAAGCCAGGCGAAGGCCGGCAAGTCCGTGGCCGCTGCAGCGGAACTGCTCTGGGAGGTTGATTCCTTTCTTCCGGGAGGCAGCCCGTTTACGATTTGGTGTGCGCTGAGCGAGTGTGCTATTCCGGGACTTTGGTGTGTTTTGTTTCTTCCGGGAGGGGCGCTTTGACAGCCACGGGTTTGCCAGCCCTCGCCAGCGGGAGCAGGAGGAGGAGGAGGAGGAGGAGGAGGAGGTGGAGGAGGAGGAGGAGATGGGGGAGGAGGAAGAGGAGGAGGCTTCTGCGGAGACCGCGCACCAGAAGGTCCTCTCCCGCCTCGCCCCTGGGGCAGCTCGCGCGCTGCCGGGCTGGAGGGCCGCAGGGAGCCGCACGGGGTTCGGCGCCTGGCCTCCCCGCCATCCTGGAGAGCTCCCGGGAGTCTCTCCCTCGAAATCTTCGGCATCCTGGAAGGCTCCTGAGGTCTTCGGACTCCTTCGGCATCCTCGGGGTGCTGGAAAAAGCGCTGGGGTCTTCGAGCTCCTCGAGTAAGTCTTCGAAGTGTCCTGGAACGCTCTGACGTCTTCGAGCTCCCTCGAAGCCCTCGGACAATCCCCGCGTGCGGCAGCTCGGCATCTGGCCCACCTGCGGGCGAGGCCCACGCGGGGGCCCCCCGAAGGCCCCGGGGGAGGGGGGGGGGCCCTGGCGGGCCGAAGCGCCGTTGGCCCGGGCGTCGGTGGCTTCAAAGATGGGGTCCTGCGGGGTGGGCGAGAAGGAAAAGTCCCTCGGCACGCCCCCGTGGCACGTTCCATGGCGCGTCCCCCTGGCACGCCCTGCGTTGCGTCCCCTGGCACGTCCCCCTGGCACGTCCCCAGGCGCGTCTCTTCCGGCGCTCTGCGGCGCGTCCACGTGGCATGTCCCGCGGCGCGCCCCCTGGCGCGTCCCTTGGCCCGTCCCCTGTGCAGCACGGCACAGCGCAGTGCAGCACAACACAGCCTCTGGCACCATCGCCCAATTGAGGTGCTTTGAAACCTTTCCATGCTTCTTGAGGGATGGTCAGAGAAAGAAAAGGCACGGTAGGTCCGCGTCGTGTCGGCTGGCGGCGACCGCGCCGCCGGCGTGCAGCGTTGAACGCCGCCGGCGACCCGGAATCGATCAATGTTGAAATGGCCGATCCTTCAAGGTTGAACGATCCCCGTGGTGTCTGAAACCATCTCATCAGAGCCCCGAGTCATCAGGGGTAACTCGGGTCAGGGCTAATTCGGGTTTGTTTTTCGGGAATCCAAACCCGAGTTACCCCGGACCCGAGTTACCCCGGATAACTCGGGCGTCCAGAGCCCCGAATCATCAGGGGTAACTCGGGTCAGGGCTAACTCGGGTTCCTTTTTCGGGAATCCAAACCCGAGTTACCCCGGACCCGAGTTACCCCGGATAACTCGGGGGCCCAATCTCCAGGGTCGACACGACGCGAACCTGACGTACCCATACCGCTACCTCTCGACCGTTGCTCCTCCTTGGGGCCTCATGCGCGGCCCTCGTCGCCACCGCTGGCTTCGCCTCGAACGTCTGGTCAGCTCGCGCCCCGGGAGAGGTCCGGGGGGTAGTGGTATCGGTACCCTTGTGGTTTCCCTAGACGGGGGCCCAGGATAGGAATCAGAGGAGGAAGAGAGAGGCCTGTCAGATCAGGTCCAATGAGATGGGACGATGGGACCCACAACAGAGTTGCAGGCGCACTTGCGTTGCAGTTCTTCTCTGATGGTGGCTTCGTCCCGGGTGTAGGCGGGGCGTACGGCATTCAGCTGGTGGGCCACGTGGGGGACGAGCACCAGCCAGAGCGAGCTCTGATCGGCTACATTATTCATTTTGACCCTGATGCGAAATCAGTCTTTGAGATGGAGTTGCGTGGGTTGGAGGCAGCAGCAGAGGTACCACGTGCAGATTGTGATACATTGGAGTGAGTTCTTGTCACAGCAGCCTACATGAGGGCACTCGAGCCTCATCGCCGATCGAGCCTCATCGCCGATGCATCGCCGATGCAGCTCGATGTGGAGCCCGAGTTTCTCCACGCCGACTGCGCCGATGCATCGCCGATGTCGCCTCGGCATCGGCGATGCATCGCCGATCTATCGCCGATGCGGCGCGATCCTCCGACCCCGTCTACTCGGACCCCATCTATGAGGCCTCTAGAGGTACCCATGCCGCTACTCTTCTATCGCTTTCGCCTCTTTTGGGACCTCCTGGGTGGCCCTCGTCGCCACCACCAGATTCGCCTCGAAGATCTGGCCAGAACGCACCCTGGGAGAGGTCCAGGGAGTAGCGGTGTCGGTACATTTTTGTTTCTCCACTAAGGATACGAAGCTATGCAAGGGTGTATTTCTGCTTCAGGAGGGAAAAGCAACACACAGACACAAGTAATCGTCGATTCCCAAGAAAATATGGGAAAATATGGGAAGTGTGGGGGAAGACAAAAACCCAGAAAATATGGGAACATATGGGGGGATCTGTTAATTTGTATGTGTTTATTTGTGTGTCCTGGGGCCCCTTCAATCCTGCCCGTTGCCGCCCGACTATGCCGTCGCCCGTTCCGCCATATGTTGTTTTCGCGGGAGTACCCGTGGTACTATGCCGCCATACTATGCCGTTGCCCTTCGTTTCTGAGGCGGAGATGTCCGCCGTTGGTTTCCGGCATCTTTCGGGGTGCATGCCCGACACGATTTGAAGTCGAAAGTTCAATCGGGGTACTGCGGCGGAGAACCGAAGTCTGGGTCGGTACGGTGGGGGCGTGGATTAAGGAATGTGCCCAAGAGGCTTGAGACCCTGGAGGCTTCTTTGTATAATAAGGGCGGCGGCGATATCCATGGCCAGTCCACGATCGAAGTTCCACTGTCTTCGAGGCCCTGGATTCCTTATCCATTGGTTCCTTATCCAATGCCCTCACCGCATCTCACGAGCTGAAAACTATCACCCAGACCTGCACGTCCCTGAGAATTCCTGGGGTGGAATACTGGGGCGGGCTCTGGGTGCGTGTTTTTCGCATGGGGGGGTCCCCGCTCGGGCGGGAGCCCCCGTCAGGGTCCGACAGTGCGCACCAACACATACAGCGCGTTCGTCGCCGTGCCCTTCCCCATCCCTCCTCCCTGTAGGTTTGAGTAGGTGTGTGTGTGTGTCTGTGTGTCTGTCTGTCTGTCTGTCTGTCTGTCTGTCTGTCTGTCTGTCTGTCTGTCTGTCTGTCTGTCTGTCTGTGTCTGTGTCTGTGTCTGTGTCTGTCTGTCTGTCTGTCTGTCTGTCTGTCTGTCTGTCTGTGTTGTTCGTTGATGAGTATCGGCGCGGCGGCCCGCGCTCTTAAGGAGCTGAAGGTGGCGGAGAGACGCTGCTGGATCGAGGAGCGGCCCCACCCCACGCGGGGTGTCGGGGGGGTTTGCCCTCGGAGCGTGCACCGCGCCGCGGGGTCGGCCCACGGGCAAGCCCAGACAGACTCGCGTCGTGCTCCGCCTCATCCTCCTCCTCATGCTCCTCCTCCGCATGAATTGCCTACCCCGGTTTCGCTTCTAGACAAGACGAAGCCATACCACGCGCCTCCTTGTCAAGCGGCCCGACTGGTGCGGGCCTTAGCCTGGTATGGCTTGGCATCTCTTGGGAGCGAGGGTGCTCAGACACGAGGTAGGTTCGTTTGCCTCACTCAGCACCCCGCAAGTGTGGTTGCAAATCATGGGAACCTTGTGTACCCTCGTAGTTCCATCGATTAGCATCGACTAGCGTCAATTAGCGTCTGGGAGGCGATGAGGCAGCGCCGATTCAGCGTCGGCTTGCGTCGATTAAGGTCGAATTAGCGTCGAGTAGAAGATGTTTCGTTCTTGTCTGCTCGCACGTCTTCCAACATGTATATCCCAAGTCCTCGATGCCCGCCATCTTCGTCTTCGATCATACACCCCTTGGGGGCATAGTCGTCCTTGCCTGCCACGTGTAGTTAGTACAGCCCCTAAAGCAGGGGAAGGGAGGGAGGAGAGAAGGGACAAGGGGGAAAAGGATGTTGCACGAGAGAGATTCCCAGGAGGCGGGAGGGGAGTTCGAAGCAGGAAAGCAAGCCGCAGAACCAGATGGGTGGCTCGGGCGGGCGGACCTTAATGGGCGGATCGGGCGGGCCAGCCTGGACGGCTGGGTCGAGCGGGCGGGTCGTTGAAGCGTGAGTCCTGCATGAATCGCGAGGACATCTCGAGTGATAGCGCGATTCCCAAGTAAATCGTGAGGAAGTCCAGAAAACGAGAGCGTGATTCCTGAGTGTCGAGGGCGCGGTGCTTGAATGAACTGCGAGGAAGTCCCACGCGAGAGCGTGACTCATGCTCCCATTGCGAGTAAGTCCCGCGCGAGAGCGCAATCTTGAAATAAACTATGAAGCAATATCCAGCAGGAACCGTGGCTGTACTAGTTCGAGGGCCAAAGGCGCAAATTGGAGACTACGTGTTTTTCCGTTTGGAGATCCAGTGGATTTCATTGTAAAGATTTTTGTGGAAGCCCCGAGAGGGGCACTTCAACTGGAAAACAATGTGCTCCGGAGGGGGGCATCATCAATATTCATTCTTCCGAAATGACAAGTCAATAACAACAGGAAGTTCGCGCGAGAGCGCAATTTTTTTATCATACTTTGTGAGGAAGTATCGGGCGAGAGCCATTGTTGTTTAAACCGGGGGCCGGAGATATAGCGTGGTGGTACCAGATTTTCCTTGATAGAAGAGGTGCGAACCCTGGGAGGAGCATTCTGACTGAACCAATTGAATGTTCACCGGAGAGGGTGGATCAGCAATGATTCTTATAATTGAGAGTTGCGTCACCTAGCAATGACCCCCACACTTTCCTGACTATTACGGTGATGTTGGCAAATCGTTTCCGATCGTGTCATGTTTGGTGTTAGGTGAGCTGCACACCAGGACCGAACGGAGGGACGCGCCGCCGCTGCTGGCTTCTGGTCTGCGCGGGTTTTTTTCCGACTTCCACTGGCCCTCAGCCGAGCGAGCACGACGGTGGCTCGGGGGCAACGGGCTTCCCTCTGTGTATCATATCCGCTCCACGGACCCGCTCTTTCCGTTCCCGTGCCGGCCCAGGTTCTAACACGCCCTCCAGGGGCCATGTTGGCGACTACTTCGGCCCAGGACGGTCCAAGAGACCCCCAAGAGGCCCTTCCAAGACGGCTGAAGAGACGCCCAAGAGGCTCCAAGACAGCCCAAGAGCGCTCCAAAAGGAGGGCCGAGCGATGCCGCCGACCTCTGGGCGGGGCCAGTCTTCGGAGGTGCTGCCTGCGCCGGCACGAGCTCATGTGCCGCAGCCCCACGGTCACGGGCGGAAGAGGAGCACGGCAGGTGCGCGCCGTGTCGACCGGACGCGACCGCGCCGCCGGCGTTCAGCCTTGAACGCCGCCGGCGACACAGATTGGGCCCCCCCCCATGTTGAGCGATGTGACGTTTCGGAAACGGCCGATCGTTCAAGGTTGAACGATCCCCGCGGCGTCAGGCGTCAGGCACCAAGGCCGAAGTCGGCACGACACGGGCCAGGCTGCAAGAGGAGGCGGATAGGAGGAGGAGGAGGAGGAGGAGGAGGAGGAGGAGGAGGAGGAGGAGGAGGAGGAGGAGGAGGAGGAGAAGGTGTGCCCCCATCCACTCCCTTCCCCGAGGTCGCCGGCGCGGGCGGTCGCCCTCCCCTGATGGGCCGATTTTCCACCACCAGTACCATCATGGGTAGGAGAGGGAGGAGGGGGAGAATGAGGAGGAGGAGGAGGAGGAAAAGAACGAGGAGGACCTCCCCTTCCTCTCTCCTCCCCCATCCTACGGAGGAGGAGGGGGGAGGAGCACAGAGGAGGAGGAGGAAAGAAGAGGAGGAAGGAGAGGGGGAGGAGAGGAGAGAGGAGGAGGAGGCAGGAGGAGGAAGGAGGAGGAGGAGGAGGAGGATGAGGAGAGGAGGAGGAGGAGGAGGAGGAGGAGGAGGAGGAGGAGAGGGGGAAGGAGGACAGTAGGAGGAAGGAGGAGGCGGAGGAGGAGGAGAAGGAGGAGGAGGAGGGAGGAGGGAGGAGGAGGAGGGGGGAGGAGGACAGTAGGAGGAAGGAGGAGGAGGAGGAGGAGGAGGAGGAGGAGGAGGAGGACTGGCCAATCACCCCCGCCGCGCAGTCCAGGACTTCAAGGCCTGGGTCGAGTCGGCGCAGGCCGCCCGCGGGGGGGCGGGCGGAGAGGGGGCCCGCGGCTCGAGCGCGGCCAGCAAGGCTTCGGTGGGGCACGTCCTCGGTATCGTTTTCACGGATCCCCAGCCCTATCTCCATCCCCTTCGAGACCCCCACCAGACTGGCGTGGTTTGAACGGATATCGGGGTGCGCTTCCACCTCGTGAACACCAACTGTGGGCTCGTTGTCGGCTTCTCCCTCCTGTGCGACCCTTGTGGAGGGGGGGAGAGACGGAACGGGAGAGAGAGAGAGAGAGGGAGAAAGATACTGATGCGTCTGTATATATAGATCGGGGGAGAAAAGGAGAGTGGCATAAAGAGAGGAAGAGACATACAGAGAGAGAGAGAGAGAGATAGTGATACATACATATATATATATGTATATATATAGAGAGAGAGAGGAAAGAGAGATACATGTAGAGGGAGAAGAGGTAGAGAGAGAGAGAGAAAGAGAGAGACAGACGATTCGCACACTAGAAGGCAAGAATTCCTGAAGTAGATGGGAGAAGGGCCCTTCTCTTCTTCATGCTCACTCCTCCTCCTCCTCCTCTTCCTCCTCCTCCTCCTCCTCCTCCTCCTCCTCCTAGTTGTTTCTCCTCACCCCATGTGTCTTTGTTTTCCTCCTCCATCCTCCTGTTCTCAGGGACGAATGTCAGCTGTGGCGCGCGGTGGGTGGGTGGGGGGGTGGGCACACGGCGCCAGGGCGGCAACGAGGAATTCCCCGTGCCTTTCGGCATCGCGCAGGATGGCGCTCCTTCGTTGCTCCCAACTATGTCGCCGCCTCCTCCCACTCCTCTCCCCATCTTGTGGTCGTCGTCGTCCGTTGTCGTCGTCGTCGTCGTCGTCGTCGTCGTTGTCACGTCGTCACGTGGTCGTCATTGTCGTCGTCACGTCGTCCTCGTCCTCGTCCTCGTCCTCGTCCTCGTCCTCGTCGTCCTCGTCGTCGTCGTCGGCGACGACGTCTCCGCCGCCGCCGCCGCCGTCGTTGGCTCTATTGCTGCTGCTGCTGCTGCTGCTGCTGCTGCTGCTGCTGCCCGTTCTCCTCCTCTAATCGCTTCTCCTCCCCCCGGGCTTCCTCTGTTCAAGCGCCTGCTCGCTTCTCCCCCCTGCTGCTGTACCTGCCTCCTGCTGCTGTGGTTCTGCCGCCTCCTGCATCTCCGCCCTCCGTGCTCCACGCTTCTCCTGAGATGTCTTGTGCGCGACTTTCCCTTGCTTGTTCTGGTCATGCCCCTTTTTTCTTGGCCGAGCTCAGAGCGGTCCAGCCGCTGAAGCGTCAGTGTGCTCGGCAGTCGGCACCCCCGACTACCAAGCGATGCAAGGGTGCAGAGGCCTCGACCTTCTCCGTGGCCGACAGCACGCGCCTGAAACGCTGCAAGGAACATGCACTCTCGGCGCCCGTCGAGCGTTACCATCCTGACCAGGGTACACCCACTACATCCCCGCCCTCCTCCCAACCACGTGCTCGGGCGGGCACAGAGCCAGCATTGTAGCCGTCGATTGACGACAACAACAGGAGCAAGGAAGAGATGAGGACGTCGAATTACGTCAGGACGGGGTGGAGAAGGAAAAGGTGACTCGCCCCTGGTAGCACGCCGCCAGGACGACGAGTCGCGGCTCAAAAGCAGAAATTTGGGGGACGGGGAGGCTTGGGGTGGCGCTCGACGGTTTGTTTCGCCCGCCTTACCACTTGCGCCTCCCGTGCCCTCCCCGTCCCCTAAAGAAGAAGAACAGCACAGTCTCCCCCTTGGTCGGCCCCTCGATAGTTCAACTACTCCGCAGTAGCGCTGAGCACGAGTAAGACCTTCGTACACGAGGGGCCGCCAAGGAGGAGGACGCATACGAGTACTCCTCCTCCACCGAAATCCACTCAAACGACTCCTCCTCAAAGTTATTGTCGCCATAGGCGACAAGACAGGCGGTAGCCTCGTGAGGCTCCTCTCAGCCTACAGGCTGGGCAAAGCACACAGATACTGATCATCCCACCCTACACACTCATTCCAAAGCAAACCTATAAGCTCCTGCGAAGACTCGCCGACAAGATCATGAAGAAGCGGGCCCTTCTGAAAGCCCGCCCAATCAGTACACCAACGGTCCGTGGAAGTTCAGCAATTTGGCTATGTTGTCCATGGTATACGTGGCAGCAACGTTCGGGTCCATGATGACGCAGCTCTATCTCATAGTCGCAATGTGTATGAATAATTATCATCTCTCTAGCTTCTGTGGCGCCGAACATACAAGTATCAATCTCAGTATGGCCCACTCGGGCACCAATAGTCTCGAAGTCTGGCATGAAGTTCTTCATATTGTCGTACGCCTTGCGCTCCGCTAAGACCGCCACAGGAACGCCGGCCATAGTACCTGCTTGCAGTAGTCTCCACGCAGACCTCACCTGAGAATTGTCGCCAGCATAGTTCTGTCGGCGTTGGGGAGGCAATCGTCGGATACCCCAGGGTTCCGTCTGGGTACGCCCTTGGTCAGGTCCAACTCCGAGCCACGTTTTCCCACTGAGATGGATTAGAATAGCCCCTACATGACCTGACTGCATCCGAGTAACGATCGTCCTCATCTGCGCCTCTTGTAATCCAACAGCCGTGCCATCCTCGTCCCGTTCAGAATATGTTTCAATGCCAAGGCCACATGCCTGATGGAGCGCTTCTGAGAATTCTACGTCGCACTCAGCTTGAAAAACATTAAGCAATACCATTGTGCTGGGGTCGCCAGTCTGAATACGTCGAATTGCATTAGGTACCTCACGTACTGGTAGCCATACTTCAGGGACTTTGACAGGAACCAGCCTGTCACCCTTGCCCCCAAGAGGATCTCCGTAGCGAGCCCGCTGTCTAACCACCCTGTAGTTGAATCCTTGCTGAACTTGCTTCCGCTCACGTCGTAAATCCTCCTGCCGCAGAAGTTCAGCTTCATCAGCGGAAAAAAGGTCCCCATTGTCCAAGAGCCATGAAATACACCCGTTGCCTCGTCTGCGTAAGTGCCGTAACAGGTTGGAGCGATCACCAAAAACTGTGCCACAAGCTCCACACTGCGTACCTCGTGCTGCCAGCTGGGCTCCATCAATCGGCTGATGGTCCAGGAAGTGTTTGCGCCAGGCAGACTCCTTCGAGCACACCCATCCACAAGTATAGCACACGAATTTCTTCTCCAAGTCCGTGGTGACCGCCGGCGCCAGCTGAGCGTTAAGACTTCGTTCTGCCATTTGCATTTGGACATTCTCAAGTTCTCTATACACGTGGTACTCCCATGCCGTCTTGACTTCATTCAAGAAACTCTTCGTGTTCAGCCTGGCGTACTGGAACCACTGCTGCACCGTCCAAGCTGAGCGAGCTCTGTCCTTGCTGTAACTATCAAGCCACTCCAAGTCATCACGAAGTAGTGAGACCCAGGATCCCCGTTCGCCAGCCAATTGGTCAAGGAGAAGCCATAGGACAACAGGAGCCTGCAAAAACATCTTCCCAAAGTACATTAACCTCTTCTTACGAATAATATCTCTTAAATGCAGTCTCCTCGCAGCACCTAGGACTTGTTCGTCGTTGTAGAAGCTAGTAGTCTGGCGATGATGCTGCAAACCTTGTGCCACGCGATATGTCGCGATTCGAGGTGTCTCCAACCGTTGCAAGAGTGACTCACTGAGTGCCGTCCATGTCTCGGCCAAGTAAGTAAGATGCACGTTGGCCAAGGTGTCAACAAGATTCGTCTTCGCTGGCCTCGTCATACCCCCAAATTTCGAAATCATCTTCTTAACAGGCATGGCCGCAATCTTCTGCTTCTGCACAAGGTGTGCTATCCGAGGGCCCATCTCGAGACGGCGGTTGATCATCGTCCCTAAGTACTTGTACTCCTTCACCACATGCACCTGAATATCCCACCGTGTAGGTATAATCAGAAGTTCGTCTTCGTTATCAAGTCGATCCCTCAAGTCGACAGGTACTTGCCTGCTAGGTATGATGAACATGGCTGACTTGGACTTTTTGTAGTTGACCAGAAAGCCGTGCGAGAGCATAGCCACATGGACTGCATCCGCAACTTCACCAGCAAGTTGTATAGGATCTTGCCATGACTCAACAGACTGCATAATTAAAGCATCGTCAACAAAGGAAATATCTGTAAGGTGAGGGTCAGCTTGTGATTCCGCAGGTGCAAAGCAGCTCTGAACTCCTTCCACCCGCAGAGGCAAGCTGGCACCTAGCGGGCGTAGGGCCTCGTCGATGCTCTTGAGAGGCTTGCAAAACGCTGCGTTAAAGATCGCGTCGGCCAGAGAGCTTCCTGGACGCGAGCTCCTACGCGACCTGGCAACGGTGCTTAGGGTGTTAGTGCCAAAATGCGTGTCTCGATGTCCTTCGATCAGTAGGGCCAAAAGGTGAGGATGTGCTCCAAGACCATCCAAGGCTGCTGGTTGTGATAGGATAAAAGTCAGCATGGGCAGCATCGCTATAGGCAAGTCATGATGATGTACAATGTATTCATCGTCTCCATCTGGGTCGCCAAGTCGAGGTAGAACCATACTGCGCACCACCGAATAGAAGGCTTGCACCAAGTCAATAAAATATAGAATAGCCGAGCGACCTTGGAACTGCGCCGCTTGAATAAACGAAGTTGCGATGTGAACCAACAACGCAGGGCCTTTGGCAGGTCGACCTCCACACTGGGTATCACGAAGGAGTATGCCAAGATATCGTGTGAGTTGCTGCCGTAGAAATTTATGCCAACACTTACTCACTACTCCATTCAACAGGATGGAACGATACGTCTGTAGTTGCTGCCCAGGTCCACCTGATTTAAGAAGAGGGAACACGGTGCCATGCTTCCAATCGAAAGGCTCCTGCTGGTACACGCTCGTCTTGAACATAATCGGCCCGTAGTGCCGAGCAGCGGAGCGAGGGCAAAGACGCAGAAGATCGCCGTGTATATCATCCTTTCCTGGAGCCTTGCGCCGCTTGACTCGTGAAAACATCCCTGCCACCAATCCAACATGCGGTAAGCAAGCGGTGTCCAAATCTGCACCATCAATGTCATGATGCAGGCGCTCGTTGTATTTTATCCTCAAAGCGTTATCGCCCATTAACTCTGCGTCCTCAATGTTTGCGAAGTACTCCAATATCATCAAATCGGCCTCCTTATCCG